TGTGTGTGTGTGTGTGTGTGTGTGTGATAGAGGGAGTGTATCAGCACTAGCGCGGGGACTTACTAATTGCTAACTTAAAGTGTGTGGGTAGTGGCAGAGCCCAAAGGCGTTACTAAATGGCCGATCCTTTCGCGAAAACCCACCAAGTCACTCTTTACTCCGAGCAGACCGACGCGAGTTTTGATGTGAATTTGGCTGTGATTTCCTTTTAATTGAATTTAATCCGAAGTAAGCTGATGCATGTTCCCATTGGTGTCCAGCCCCTCCTTCTGGTCAATGTGTGTGTGTGTGTGTGTGCAGTCTAATCACAGTGCTTACCGTTTCAAACGGCTTACGCAATCCGCGATTATAATCACCAGCTGATCGATACAGGTTTTGTGTTGTTTTACATTGTTCAATGATCCGTGATTATCATTTTTCTGTGTTGCCTTGTCATACTCAACCCTACGGTTCAGTTAATAGTATCCAATCGACATCGGAAATTAGTTTCTCAATGTTCAGGATGTAATGCTGAGGATCAAGTAATTGATGTTTACAGATTTGAAAAAAATCATTTCTGTGAATCATCGGGCGGCTGATTTTAACTTTTCAAATGCATCATTGAAAGAATTACAGAATCTCATCGCTTTTTTGGGCCTTGCACTCATCAGTCTCAGTAGATGACCTTTGATTAGCTTAGTGATTCGCTAACAAATGATGTAGTTTACTGGTAGTAGCCACTTTCACATGAGTGCATGCTTTTGTGTGTTCATACGGGACAGATGAGAAGCTCGTCGGGTCCGAGATTGATCTGCAAGCAACACTTGTGCTGGACTATTTTCTGTTCTCTTTGCACCTCTTTCCTGCATTCCATTGACCCAGTTAATTGTTCCTCCGATCGACTATCTGTGTAACCTTGTCGCCAAACACGCACACACAAAATGTACACAATCAGATCAATAATCTGACTACTGGTGTCTGTTTGAATCTGTCATGCAGCCGCATGATTTTGTTGGCTGGATCAATTCAAATCTGTCAACTCTTCGTACAGTGGTTCTAAGTAAAACTATGTGACTCAATCAATCTCTGATACGAGTGTTATTAACTAACTTCGCACAAGAACTTTCCCACGTGGAACCGCTATCTACACTCACCTATTGTAAATCGGAATACAGAATAACGTGTTTCCTTTCACGGTCAATTCTGCTGTAAATACCTGTTTATTTAGTGGATAGTGCGTTACTGGTGCAATCGATGTAGTCATTCATTCAATCTGCGTCCGATATCCCACGAGGATATTGCTGACCTCAATGTTCTTTTGAACCTTGTCCTACGGCCGACACACGGCAATTGCTCGTTCTCATTCTGTGGTGGAAACGCTCACAGCTCTAACTCAATACCTATGATTCATGATAAACCGGTTCGACTTAATGTAGGGTTGTTTTGAGTATAACTGTCGTAGGCTTGTATATCAGGCTCACATACATATTGTTGATTACCTGGTGGTCCCATTTTGTGCCCTGGCAGCTACTTAATTGCGTTTATGTGTTGAAATTAGGGAACGGTTGGTTAGAGAATCGGACTAGGGATGGGAGGTAGGCGATAGAGGTTGCTGTCAGGTCAGTCGATACGTGGGGTGTTCGAATCGTTTCATCATCACCACTGGGCTGCTTTTACTATCTCTCTGTAGCGTCTGAATAACCTGCAGTTTCATTCTTGAAATTCAATTGTGCATTTTTGTATACATTTTTAGATTAACGGAAGTATAGGATTATTAGTATCATCCTACATATCAAGAAGCAAGTTTGCGCTGATTTCGAACTTGAAGCTCCACAGCAGGGTGATTGTTTTTTGTCAACATCTAACCTCACCTCCACCTTCTCTTTTCTTCTGCAACTGTTGACCGGTTAATGACTTATTATTCACCTGATCAAAGCTTTCTGCCCAGCGAACAGAGTGACCAGTTCATCGATGTCTCACGATAAATGTTGATAGCGTGTAATCCATCTGTCTATCGTCAAGTGCGAGATCCACAAAGGTCACATTTGTAAGGCACGTGTAAAGGACACTTATTCGTGTATTGTGTGACCATTGGATAAAAAACAGGGCAACCAGTCTGATTCATGGTCAGCCCCGGTATTGTTGCGGTCATCTAAGCGATACTAACTAAACGGTAGCTCTGACAGTATCATCAGAGGTAGCGATAACAATGTCAATCCAGCACCGTAACAACTAATTGGTCTGTAACACCATCAGTTTTGTCTGTTTGATTGAACCACATATGTGGTCCATCCGGTGACCCATCGATCCTGACTCTCGATCGATCGATCAATCGACCGATTGATCAGTTCTGATCAAAACAATTCTGAAGTTCATAGCTCAAAGGTACGTGCAGGGGTCTGTGTCTGTTCCCCTGTCAATTTCTTCTTTTGTGGTAGATTGGTAGCATCGTGGAGCGTTTATGAACCCGAGTACAGTACTGCACACGGATACAATCGCTTTTCGCTCAAATAATTCTCAACTTCATTTCGCACCATTTACCGCTCCTACCATTGTGGAAGGCTTGTAGGAACAGCATTCTGCGCTCTCGGTTATGGGAGCCGTTTTAACCAGCCGTATTATTTCATCACGTGGTAACCACAAAATATGATACNTTGAGTAGATGCACGAGCGCCACTGTTTGCAACGCTCATCCATGTCGCTCAATGTCCCTAATCACTGGTTACCACGATCTCGGGCTCCGCATCGGTGCCACAGATGTCCCAAGTCGGTTGATGTCAATCAAGCTTTCTGTATGCGTATCGACACGTGTAGTAGATATACAAACGATGTTCTTTACACGGAAGTGATGCTTTTGGTAGATGAATCATTGGCATCAGTATGCTTGGAAGCGATGAAGTTAACGTATCCGCTAAATGGAACCGTTTTATCTTAAGCGCTGTTGCGTCTTGTCGATTTCTTTGCCACCTTAGTCTGCTGATATTGTACGTTGCGTGGGATAGGAATGCAGTGTTCTCAGCTGCTACCGAA